GTTAGTCTTTAGGTTTCGGTTCCGTGAGCTGTTCCATTGTGCATTGATTGGCAGTCCGCTATTCGGTATCGGCCCTTAGCCTCATACACCCAATGAGAGAGCACGTTATTGGCTAGGGCTGTCCAGCCAAGGCGGGCGGTAGCTGTCCAGTGAAGTTCGAAGACATCTCCCACCGTCGAATGAAAGTATCAAGCGCTCCACTTTTATAGCGATCCAGCTCTTTCTGTGTTTGTTCACTGGAGTGAACATTCCAGAGGTGAGCGCGGATAGACAAAGCCAGGATGTGCCCAAGCAGCTGGGTTTATGATACTGAGCTTTGTCTGGCCTCTACCCATTGACCTTTCAGGTATGATTGGATCTGCGGCTGTGAACATCCATCCTGTGTAGCTCGCAGGGTCATGGAGATACGCAAGTCATCACATCACGTAAAGGTGCAATTCACCTCTGCCACATCAACTATTGTACTAAATTCACCAATAAGATTCCGGACAACCAGCGACTGCACCTTGATCCATCTTCTTGTTGCTACCATCCGTTTACACGTTCCTTCTTTCAGCATCTGCCCACTCGAACTAAAATTTATAGGAATCCCTCTGTGCCTCGCACGCCTCAACTCCCAACCAACAATGAACATGTTGTTAATGAATTACGTGGGAATTGGTGCATAAACCTAACGTTAGCGATGTGTCAGGTAGCATGTCTTCTAAATTTAAACCGAATATCCTGTATGACGGTAAGAATGCATTTAACTAAAAATTTAAGTATGCAAGCTTCCATAAGTGATATTATTACAACATATCGAAAACTATGACTGCTGCTTCAATGCCATCCCATTCTGTGACTTATCCAAATCATGCCCCATTCAGTTCAGAACACCAATGATCACGGCTAGGTCTTCGCTCAGCTGGCACTGAGTGATGAAATCAAACAAGAATCAACTAGTTGTGTAGTTTGGCACTGAAAGTGTAATGCGGCCGTCGTTCGCACCAACCGTGCTGCCAAACATCATCACCCGTGAAAAGGTGCAATCTGTGACACCTGGGAAGCACGCTCATCTCCTATTGATGCAAAACAACAGTGATGTGTGAGCGCCCGGTCGTCTTGTGCCTGTTGACCGTTAAATTGTGTGATACGTTCACCTTTGTCTGACCCCCCCCCCCCCCCNGAATGCTGACTGATCTGATAGATCAGCCGAACCAGTGTGCCCTTGCACCTTACCAGCAGATCAATAATCACGTGATAAACCGAGCGCTTGTCAGGTGTGATGAATTGATAGACAACCAGGTCAATACGTCTGGTTGTTCCTAATGATCCGACGGGTGTGAGCGTGTGTGCGCTACAGACCCAAAGGGCCACCGAAATTTCATGTTACGATAAGAATCAAGTAAATAGCTCAATAGATTGATCAACGAAGAGCGTAGGCAAATGTTACTTCCGAACAAAAACAGACCACAGAACTAGGAAAAAGAATTACACCGGCTTTAGTTTCCGGGGTTGACGTGCTTCACACTGTAAGGTCCAAGGTTCGAATCATGGTACATACTTTTGGTGGTAGACGGAGACACTATGGCCCATCCTACTGAGACTGTTCGGTTAGTCACTACAAGTTCCACGGTTTTTAGTTACCTGTTATCACGAATGAACAGTAGTTTCTAGAGACCATAGACTTTCCACCGTCATCACACAGATTCCGTCAGCAAATTGGCTGGGAATGAAACAAGGACACTTTGGATTAGAATATGCCTCAAAGTTTGTTGGATACCCTGACAAAGTAAATACTGAGGCAAGTTCGTTTTCCGTTTTGGGGACTGGCACAGGACATATCATTGAAAGTTCTTTTCGACCCGGGGGCAAAAAAACGTATTGACCAGAATAGTAGTCATATTGGAGCGGATAAAGTCGTAAAACACAAGAACACGTGAATCCGCCGGAGAGTTGACACAGTTCAAACTGTACAAAGGGAGGGGGACAAAACCAATACAATGTGGACGAGGTTACAAAACCAATTAGTAGAAATATGGTCTGCTAACGACGAAACCATCGGTAAAACCGGCGACGAAAGAGGGCGAGAATCTGCTCAAATAATACTTCAAGGAATAAAACAAGAGTACCAAGAGAAGTACACTTTTTGGTAAAAAAGAGAGAGAAAGCAGACAGCGAAGGATAACAGAGAATTTAGACTCTATTGGCCCAACACTGGGACACACGTGGGTTGTGTATTTCACACGCGTCTGAATCCAGACTACAGTAATAAACTTTAAGAAAAGAGTATACCAATACACTACACCTGAAAACGGATAAGAACGAACTGAAAAGATCGTTACGTTCATAAGAAAAAGTAGATCATTACTTCCCTGAAAAATGGCATGCGGACAGAGAGAGAGACGTGTGAGAAAACAATGAGCCAAAATGGGGTGCTTACCGATTCGCGCAAACTCGGAGGGAGTGTGGGTGTAGACGAGGAATGTGTATCGCCTCGATGGACACCATTTACCGGTCGATCTTTACCTCGCGCACCGTTCGCAGTCGGACCGCGCTGACCATGTGGACCGTGCAAATCGGCACCTGCACAAACACCATTGGGTAGCTGAATGGTGAACGAGTGATAAGAAGGGCAAATGAGTGAATGGTTAAGCGGACAACTCAAAGGATTAATGGATGAACTGAAGAGGAAAAGCGTACCCGACAAGTTTAACTGATATCATCGTTCAGCCATTGAAACACATCAAACAGTCAGCGGTAGGTTACACGGATGGTTTTTGCAGTAAATTCACAGATCAAGAATAAGGGGAATGGGTACACCATTATCTGGAACGGTGTTTAACTACCTAATTTGTCCGGGTTTATTAGGTTTATATTCGGGATCATTGAATTTAAGGGTCAGATACACTGAGTGATATGGCTGTGTCGTAAACAGTGGCATCGTGCATCTCAATTTCTTCGCAACCTTAGTCTACTGAAATTCACCATTTACCCTTCGACTGTACTTTCAATTTAATGTGTTCTTCCTACTGCTGCATCTGAATGACCAGCCAAAACCAGCGCACAAGAGTGCATGGTTAATGGTTGTACAAACCAAAAAGAATTTAAACCTAACATTGCAAAGAACAACTGCTTCACATATATTAATTAATTTGTATTTTTAGCCGGACAAGCAAACAGCTTGGAATCTTATTAATCTAAATGTTACTCTCCACCTGTGTGAAATCAGCAGAATAAAGTGTTTTGAAACCGCACCCTCGGATGAAACCAAGTACCCACTGCTTTGTGCCTAAGAGCCAAAGACTTATAAACGATAGCATTTGTCTTCTACCCTGGTTTCTGTTTATCAGGCAATAGAAAGAGTGACCGAAGCCGATCACAAAGGGAGCGGAATTCATTAAAATGCAATAAATGAATGTCCGGAGAAGCAGATTCATATAAATGATGTGGCACTCTAAAAAAATATGCAACAATTCCAGTGTTAACAACAAATACACCTCTCAGAATGACGGACGAATGAATTTCGAAAAATCGAATGTCGCATTGAAGTCATTTTTGTCTTTTGCATAACCCACACTGGTGGTTTAGTCATAAGCTAACGCACGTCATGTTATTGTTTAGACAATTACAAATTATTCAACTCCAACACACACACATACACTGTAGATCCCTTTCGGGATAGGTTTTCCCGGTGAGTAGGACTCAGGGAGGAGGCATGATACAAACAAACGCAAGATGATCGGGATGAACACGGCATGAGAACGAGTAGTAACACCGACACGAAGCAAAACAAATATCGTACCAGTCGTCTGGCAGACTCCATCCCATGTGGTCCTCGTAAATGCGTTTCCAAATGTTTCAAATCTATATTGTNTTTCGCCCACAATTTGCACCGAGTCAGATGTGTCTAACTCGATATCTCGCTTGCGCTGCAAAAGTGAATTCGACGCCGAGTGTGAAGCGAGAAGAGAACAGAGGGCAAGACGATGTGAAGAGAAAACAGAAGATTGATTGGTCAGTGTGTGGGCGCATAGATACAAGAAAATAAATTAGAAAGGTTAAATGCACCTGATGCGCCTGATGAGATACGGAGCCAGGGCCTTTGTGAAACTACTCCCACTCCATAGGCGAACAGTATAACAAGAATCGAGTACCAACCTCAAATAGGATTAAAACGACAGTGTCTATGAGTGACGTCCTGAGTGAAGCCTGGCTGCTAAAACTATTTTATTCAGAACGAATGAATAACGAACAAAACGTGACAAAACTGAAAACCACATTCGTACTGAGCGATTAAATTCAACAATCAAGGTCAAATCCGTTAAGCGTAACATCTGTAAAAAAAAAAGGCAACACATTTGCTAACATTTGTGACTAAGTTTTTCGCCGTGATTTTTATTCATATCAACATGAAGTTACCAAATACTATGACGGATAAGAACTTGCACAAAAATGCCGTTTCCCTATTCCAATGTGTTCGAATTGTATGGACGTAAACACTAACACCTTGACTAGTGCGCAACTAAGGACCTGCTTGATTGCACGAATGCACAAGTGTGAATCTGTAAACAAACACAGCCAGACAGCGAGAAGCAAAACTTCAATGGTTTGTGTGCGTGTACTTGCAAGCGGCAAAAACCGTTCACTACTGCCGAATAAAACAGTTTACTGAACGCGTCAGTCTTACGACAGTTCAAGTGCTTAGTTCGGGTGTCCAGTGTAAAACAGGTCTCTTCCTTGTGAGGTTTAAGTAGCATTAGAGAGAGCACAAAATATATTTGAGACAGATGAGGCAAGGGTATTCCAGTACGTGAATATACTGAATGCGAGAACACAATTTAAAACCCGATGAAACACTAGGAAATCGATGCGAAAAAGCGTGTTTTCGTAACTTTGTCTACAGGCATTAACGACTAAATACACCTGCATATTTAAAGCATTAAGTTCCGTCTATCTACTTCATCAATTAAGGGAGACAAATGTCGCGAAATGTTTACATTCCGTTTAATTTACAAACATATTGCTTCTTGAAGGCGCGTCATCACCAAAGGCAGGCAACAAATAATCAATAACCTGCTGCCATTGCTTTAAACCACATTTGGAATCGTAGAAAACCGTTGCCCTCCAGTGATATCGATAGAGTTCCATCTTAACACTCCGAGTATAGCAACCCTTATGAACCGTGAGCTGTGTTCGACTGTTTATATTTGATTCTGTGTGAGTTACAATCACTGAACAATATTCAGAATAGACTAAAGTTTACGTTTTCCTTGCCCAGTCATCTGCACCTCGTCCGCGTACCGCGTATACGGAAACATTTTTCTCAGCCCTAGTAGATTATATGCATGTATATAACGTTGGAATATCGGTTAGTGAGTGAACATTCGGAGAGCAGAGCTGTATGCCACCGAGCGCGTCCCCAGGTAGCGGATAGAGGAACGGCCGTCATCTCGCGGCTAACCGTGACTAAGATGGGCTTCGGCTTGCCGAATAAGCGGTCGCGGACGATCAGCGGCAGCCCTCAAGGATGTGGTAGGTTTACTCCTGGCAATGGTTCTCCGTACAAAACATCATATATCTGTGGACAGCGCTGTGACGCGGCGAGTGTGGCCCGCCACTAAACATGGCCATTGCTCATCTGGAGCATTACTGCTGCCTTGCAGGCCGCGCTTGGTTGCGCGAAGGCTAGAATGCATCCTCGAATAAGGCCTACTCTAGACCGGACGACCGAGTAGTACAATAGCCCGCAACGCATACAGCTATGATCCGTCTCGCTCTTACGATTATGTACTCCGATTTTTTTTATCCCGCAAAAAAAATTCCACACCCTCTTGTTTTCCCAGCCTCCCCCCCCCCANCAAGTGCTTCAGACGATCGGACTAACAGTAGTGCCTCGGGCGGAAATTTTACCGCTGTTCGTTCTTGTCCAAGTCTCACCGAATCCACCACTAGTTGATGCCCTTTTTCGCCCTCGATGCCTATTCAAACTAGACACGTTTAATGTGCGTACTCTGATGCTCATAGGACAACAGGTGTGTTTAACTCATACGCTCGAAACCCTAGCCATCGATGTGTGTTGCATCCAAGAAACTCGCATTTAAGACTCCAGCTGCATTATCCGATTGACGTCCCCGTCGAACCCATCAGTTTCACTTACGACTCTCTGGGGACCCTGAGACTGTGGCTTCCGGTTTCACTGGCGTCGGCGTGGCTCAGTGACAGAGCTGAAGCCGCCCTCGTGGACTAGATCCCAGTCGACAGTGGATTGTGCGCAGTGAGACTCAGAGGTTCCTGCAAGATAAGCAGCCGTCGCCACGTTAAACGAAACTTGTTTGTCGTTTCGGCGTATGCCCCAACGGACTGCAGACCAGATGCAAAGATGAATTTTACCACAATCTACATGGCCTCTTGCGTAAAGTGACCCGGGCTGATATCGTGATTTTAGCAGAATGCTAGAGTAGGCCGGTTGACTTCGAATGAGGCGCACCTGGGAGGTTCTGTCGGACTAGATTCCTGTCACCCGGAAAACGGGGAACGGCTGTTGGCTCTGTGTTCCGACCACCGCCTGTTTCTCGCCAGTACGAACTTCAGACGCTCCAACTGTCGGTACGCCACCTGGCGTTCACCCTCCTCGAGTCAGCGACGGACACAGATCGATCACATCGCGATAAGCCACAAATGGCGGAGCTGTATCCAAGACTGTCGATCGTACTGGAGCACTCCCCTCGAATCCGGCCACGCATTAGTATGCGCCAAGTTGTTCATGTGCTTCGGTGGGCGTTCCAAACGCACGACACAACGACTGTGATTAGCCGTCCAAACCAGCTTGTCTGCCTTTTAAAACGCGCTAGCGGAAAAGCTAGAACCAACCCCACTGGATGATGTTAACCGGCACTGGTCGCTTATCAAGAATGCTCTGCATTCTGCTGGCTTGGTTAGATGTGGTCTGACACGTCGCGCCGTGACACCCTGAATCTTTGCTCAGTCTCTACTACTTCTTGACGCACGTCGGTCTATTCCGACCGGCAGCGAGCATAATGAAACACGACTGGTAACGAGACGTGAACTTAAAGCAAACCTACACAGGGACCGCGAGATCTGATGGTCTCAACGCGCATCAGAGATGGAACGTGCTGCCGCCATGGGTAATTCCCGTAACCTGTTCCATCTCATCCGGGTCACCGGTAGGAAAGCCTTGGGTCTGAACGAGGCGATCTGCGAAGCTGACGGTTCGCCCATTCATAATCAACAGCAACGCCTTGAATGCTGGGTGGAGCACTTCAAAGCACAATTTAGCTGGCCACCAGCGTCAGCTTTTCACACAGCTATCACAGCACACGCCCCATGGTCTATTTCAATAGACCCACCTTCTGAGGCGGAAATACGTAAGGAGGTCCAAGCCTTCGAACGTCATAAAGCGCCGGGCTCCGATGGCCTTCCCCCCGCTTTATTAAAGATGGTGGAATAAAGCTTGTTAGAGAACTACAAGTTCTGTTCTCCAAAGTTTGGAACACCGAGCAGGTTTCCTCCTCGTGTGAGGAAGCGATTGTTGTCCCCATCTTCAAAAAGGGCCCGCGCAATGACTGCGCCAATTATAGGGGTATA